CCAGGTGCTGGGACGTCCCAGAGGACATGGGGCTGCGCCGGTGCCTGTAGGAGCACCTGACAAATGGCTTGCTCCTCCAGCTCTTGAACTCCGATCTGAGTTAATTGATGACTGCAGGATGTCTTTCATTAAGACTGTGGCGTTTACTCCCTCCAGTATATATGAACGGAGTTTAGAAGTAACAGCAGTGTATTTGTGGTAGATTACCAGAGCCATCAGCGAGCTTCAGATACGTGGAACGAGTTTTAATGATCATAAATATTTTCATTGGCTATAGCAAGTAGGGGCGATGGAGTAGCCTATAGGGGTGGGTATTGCAGGGAATTTTCATATTGCGATATATTGCGATGCGAAAGCATGCATTGCGATATGTATTGCATTATATTGCAAGAAGGTTTTTTAAACAATAAAATACTTATAATCGAGTTAATGCTTGATTTATAAAGCAAAAACACAACAAAATCACAATGCTTGATTAGGCTTTAATAAAAAGTTATAATCATGACAAAATAAAAATGTAAATAATATTTGGCACAAATGAAACAAGGAAAGGAACAATCTAAAAAAACGAAAATATCCGAAGATTTCCAAGTGTTACGAAGTTTCCGAATGCATGTCAAAATACCTGTTTTCGATCAGCGTATCGCAATTCGTATCCTTTTTATGTCTGAACCGGTAAATACCGGTAAACCGGTTATATTGCGCAGCCCTAGTAGCCTAGTGGTTACAGTTTTCGTTCGTCACGCCGAAGACCTGAGTTCTATTACCCGCATGGGTTCAGTGGGCGTTGAGCCCATTGCTGGTGTCCCCCGCAGAGACATTGCTGAAAGCGGCATAAAACCCAACTCACTCACTCTTAATTGCAGACATTGGAACATATTTCCGCAGACAAAAAATGTTAATGATTGGCCCCAAACTAAAAGTAACAACCCCTTAGTTTAAGTCACTGAACTGACGATAAAACTTCTTTATGACTGCCGACCACGCGTTGTACCACCATTAGGGGCGGTGGGGTAGCCTAGTGGTTAAAGCGTTGGCTCGTCACGCCGAAGACCCGGGTTCGAATCCCCACATGGGTACAATGTGTGAAGCCCATTTCTGGTGTCCCCCGCCGTGATGTTGCTGGAATATTGCTAAAAGCGGCGTTAAACTAATCTCAGTCAGTTGTACCACCATTACCACCAAGATCCGGGTTAGAATTGGTCTTCAGCAACCCATACTTGTAAGGCAGGACCAACGGGATCGGGTGGTCAGGCTCGCTGACTTGGTTGACACGTCATCCCAATTGTGTAGATCTTTGTTAATGATGTCAATAACTGGATTGGCAGGTCCAGACTCGATTATCTACAGACCGCCGCTATATAGCTGGAACATAGATGAACAGCCAACGTCATAGATACTAGATTGTTGTTCTGGGTTTGGGCACTGTGTCTTAGCTTTCAGGGGCGGTGGGGTAGCCTGGTGGTTAAAGCGTTCGCTCGTCACGCCGAAGACCCGGGTTCGATACCCACATGGGTACAATGTGTGAAGCCCATTCTGTTGTACCCCACCGTGATATTGCTGGAATATTGCTAAAGCAGCGTAAACCTAAACACAGTCAGTCAGTCTTAGCTTTGAAGCTATCGATTTGCCTCTGAAGCTGATGTAATGATATGGCCTTTTAACTGCATCACAATGACTCGGTCACACACAGCTTGTGTGCCAGACCCGACAGGTGCTTGTTGAACTGCACACAATTCCGTCAGTAGAATGTCATTCAAAGTGGGTGATGGGAAAAACAGGAATTGAGGAATGGCCATTTCATATTCTGCTTTGTGTGTTTGTGCGTGCGTGTGTGGATGAGAAAAATTGATATTACAGCCAAAGAAAAATTCGGCCTCGTTGTATGTCGTGCTGGCTATGTTATAAAATATGATTAATGTAGATCGATCAGCTCAACATTTGAGAAAGATAAACGTATGTTTTGAAGCACTAAATGAAAACATATCTTGGCTCCTCATGCAGAAAATCCCATGCCTGATCACCATATAAGGTTAATAGATGAGTGACACATGTTAATCTGGTAGAGGAGAGTTTAACGGTGTGAAAATGATCGATTCTTCACGTGAACGAAATGTGGAGTGAAATCTTCTGCCTAGAGTGTCCCATTAGGAAAATCACAATGGCCTTCTGTTTAGAATTGTCGTGATCTTATGGAAAACAAATCCTACCCCTTTCAGTTAACAGACTGATTACATTCCTTGCCAGTGGTTTTGGGGTGGTGGGGTAGTTTAGTGGTTAAGGTGTTCACTCGTCATGCTGAAGACCCTGGTTCGAATCATCATGCCCTGAATCTCCACCATGGACACAAGCACCCATCAATGGGGACCTCCTTTCAACTCGAATCTCTACATGGACACAAGCACACATCAATGGGGACCGTCTTTCAACTCGAATCTCTACATAGACACAAGCATACGGTACTGGGGACCGTCTTTGACCTAGAATCTCTACATGGACACAAACATACAGTACTGGAGACCGTCTTTGACCTGGAATCACTACATGGACACAAGTATAGGGTACTGGAGACCGTCTTTGACCTGGAATCTTCACATGGACACAAGCATACAGTACTGGGGACCGTCTTTGACCTAGAATCTCTACATGGACACAAGTATAGGGTACTGGAGACCGTCTTTGACCTGGAATCTTCACATGGACACAAGCATACAGTACTGGCGACCGTCTTTGACCTGGAATCTCTACATGGACACAAGTATAGGGTACTGGGGACCGTCTTTGACCTAGAATCTCTACATGGACACAAGTATAGGGTACTGGAGACCGTCTTTGACCTGGAATCTTCACATGGACACAAGCATACAGTACTGGGGACCGTCTTTGACCTAGAATCTCTACATGGACACAAGTATAGGGTACTGGGGACCGTCTTTGACCTGGAATCTTCACATGGACACAAGCATACAGTACTGGCGACCGTCTTTGACCTGGAATCTCTACATGGACACAAGTATAGGGTACTGGGGACCGTCTTTGACCTAGAATCTCTACATGGACACAAGTATAGGGTACTGGAGACCGTCTTTGACCTGGAATCTTCACATGGACACAAGCATACAGTACTGGGGACCGTCTTTGACCTAGAATCTCTACATGGACACAAGTATAGGGTACTGGGGACCGTCTTTGACCTGGAATCTTCACATGGACACAAGCATACAGTACTGGCGACCGTCTTTGACCTGGAATCTCTACATGGACACAAGTATAGGGTACTGGGGACCGTCTTTGACCTAGAATCTCTACATGGACACAAGTATAGGGTACTGGAGACCGTCTTTGACCTGGAATCTTCACACAGGATGACACAAGCATACAGTACTGGCGACCGGACTGGAATCTCTACATGGACCTGATAATCTCTTTGACCTGATGGACACAAGCATACGGTACTGGCGACCGTCTCTGACCTGGAATCTCTACATGGACACAAGTATAGGGTACTGGGGACCGTCTTTGACCTGGAATCTCTACATGGACACAAACATACGGTACTGGGGACCGTCGTTGACCTGGAATCTCTACATGGACACAAACATACGGCTACTGGCGACCGTCGTTGACCTGGAATCTCTACATAGACACAAACATACGGTACTGGTTGACCGTCTCTTGACACTAACATACGGTAACCGTCTTTGACCTGGAATCTCTACATGGACACAAGCATGCGGCACTGGCGACCGTCTTTGACCTGGAATTTCTACATGGACACAAGCATGCAGTAAAGGTGACCTTCTCTAAACTGGAATCTCCACATGGCCTCAAGGATGCAGAACTGGGAACCTTCTCTGAATCGAAATCTTCACATGGACACAAGCATGCGGTATTGACGACCTTCTCTGACCTCTATTCTCTGAAATCACACAAGCACACCTCCTTTGACCTGGAATCTCCACATGGCCTCAAGGATGCAGAACTGGAACCCCTGCCATGGGATCCCTCAGATTAATTAAGTCAGGTTATTTGGTTGCAGCTGAACAACAGCATTATTGTTTACAAGTGTCAATCAATTATTTCCAGTTTGCTCATGTGTGTCAACTGCGTTAATGGGACTTCAGTCACGTCACAGCAGTTCAGTCGAAGAGAGGTGGAAAGGCTCATGAGCAAGGTCTTTGAGGTCTTTTGGAAGGTGATGACCAGGAGAAATGAGGTTTAAGACGGTTTTCAAGATGATGGATCTTACATTGCATCTGTGTATGTGTGGTGGTAGTGGTGGAATTGGGTTTAACGTCGTGCTTGAGAATATTTCGCTCATATGACGATGTGCATGCGTGTGTATGTGTAGGTGCGGCTTCTTGTACTAGCCCAGACTGAAGCTGGTTTTATAGTGCTAGCCCACTGAGATACCATGCCGCAGTGAAGCATGAATACCCCACTCAGACACATTATTCTGACTCCGAGCCGATCAGTCCTTGTTGTACCCATTAATGCCGAGCGCCAGGCAGGGACCAACAAGTACCATATTTTAACGTCTTTTAGTATGACGCGGTCGGGGATCGAACCCGCGACCTTCCGCACTTCGGGCGGACGTTCTAAACACTACACCACGGAGGCGGTCGTGTATGTGTGTGTGCGTGCGTGTCTGCCTCTATTACTCTTTACAGTCCGAGCCCCTCGAGTTACCATGTCACAGTTTAACACAGATACCCCACTCACTGTACAAGCAGACCAGTCCTTGTTTAATAACCTCAATGTCACGCACAAGGCAGAATAACAACAAGTACCATCTCCTTATGGTACGACACTGCGTTTGATCCACTGACCTTCCACTCTCTGGGCAAACACTCTAGCTACTAGACATCCACCTTGTGAGACCAAAGAGTATAGGTATGGTCCTGGCAAGGGGAATCACAGATTCAAACCCATGACAAGAAGGTCCTGTGAACCATGTGACTCACTGTAGTCACTTGAAAAAGACAAAACGAACACCGAGATGTTATGCTGGTATTTATTGTACAGCAATTAAGCGTACATCGTTATATATAAATTAATGACTGATGGTTGACAGACATATACAACATCATGTTGAGAGGAGTTGAGTCAACTCCACTTACAGTAGAGATAGAGAGATAGTGTGAATGGGATGAGGGAGGAGCAACAGAGGGAAAGACAGTGTGATGAAGGTCGTTGAACCAGAGGAATAAGAGTTAGATGTAGGCAGTTTTTGCAAGGATAGCTTCCAGGATTCAAACCATGGCAAGCCACACATAGCTTGATTTGGTTAATTTCAATAATAATAAAGGTTAGTTTAAATTTTTTTAAATTTTAAATTAGCAAACAATGAATTTTTATATGAATATTTGGTTTTAACTTTACTTTTGATTATTGCCCCGAAGACATACGAGATTGATGTATCCGTCGGTGATGAGGTGATTGATTTCATAAAGGGACCATCTCAAAAGTTTTGTTGATCGATTAGTGGCATGACAGCATTTGCAGGTCTCCAAACATTTGAGATGGTCCCTTCAGTTGACCGAGAAATGACCTCTATCTACACATGTAATTCCAATTATCGAGGGTTGTGTTATGAGATGTCCAGTTAGCTTCATGATGTAGCAAAACTGTCCACAACAGAATTTTAAGTGTTTACATCAACAGATTTGTTAGCTGCACAATGATGGATACTCCATCCAAGGATAATTCAACTTCAATTAACTCCTTATTTTTCAATTTTTCAAAAAAATACAATGAAATGTAAAATGAAATTCAATTTTACTTGTGCATCAATGACATTGGCTGATTTTTTTCAAAATATAAACTCAACAAAAATTTGTCTTCCGATTCATGATTCTGAAGAATGTTTTTTTATGAAAAAAGCTTATAATGTAACAGCTAGAATAACTATAGGTATATACTACTCAACATCAGCCAAGGATCCCACCTTTCATTAAAGCTGATCTCATGCTTAGCAAACGTTTAGTAGTATAAATAAATGTCAGTATGGTGTAGAAAACTAATTATTCCAAATTTTATGATATTAACTTCTTGAAATAACGTGAATTTGATGAAGACTTTGAAATGATGGGTTTACTTTGATAGAGTGATTTAGTGCCAGGGGCCGTGTCAGCAATGTTTCAGCTATATAGGACAGTGTGTTTATACAAGTGATGGCACAAGGGTGCAGTATTGTTCTAGAAGCAGCGAGTCAGATGCTGGGTGTGTGACCAATGATTGTACCAGCTACTAAATGCTGAACCGCAACAAGACTTTTTCAAGTCTCAAAAAATATAAAAAAGAAAATGAGATAAGACAAAGATAAGTAAGGAAAACAAGACAGAAATGGCATTTGTTACGAAATCTGAAAACCTGCTGTGAATGTTACCTCATTACCAAGGTCACTACCAATTGGGAAACAAATCCAAGCTTAATATGCATTTGTAAAATTCAAATCACAAAAGGTCATTCTGGTGAATTAATCCCTTCAAAAAGGAAGTGAAGTTTTGAGAATTGATTGATATTAACAAATGAAGTTACTGTTATGGGTCAAGCATCTCACTGACTATTGGTTAGTAGATTCCCAGTAACCATGGCAACACACTAGGTCCACTGACACTAGCCAATCACCATAAGAAAAGAATAAGACCATACATGTGATTGGCCAGTTTAAGATGTTGGGAAATCAGAGAGTAAATCTGACACTGGCTGACTATAAGGTGAGTCACTGTGAAGTGAGAGAATGTAGTTTTATGCTGCTTCAAACTGTATGTCACTGCACCTTAGCTTTATCTGGGAGGAAAAAGTATGAGTTGGGGAATTAAAGATACATGGCCATGTCTAAATCTGAATTTCCAGCCCTTTCACAAACAGTGAGTGAGTGAGTGAGTGAGTGAGTGAGTTTAGTTTTACGCTGCACTCAGCAATATTCCAGCTATATGGCAGCGGTCAGTAAATAATCGAGTCTGGACCAGACAATCCAGTGATCAACAGCATGAGCATCGATCAGCACAATTGGGAACCGATGACGTGTCAACCAAGTCCGCGAGTCTGACCACCCGATTTCACAAACAGTACACCCATCAAAGGAAACAACTGTTCAATGGACACTAAAACATCATTAACTGTCTAAGCTAGTAGTGAGTGAGTTTAGGTTTATGCCGCTTTTAGCAATATTCCAGCAATATCACGGCAGGGGATGCCAGAACTGGGTTTCACACTTAGTACCCATGTGGGGAATCGAACCTGGGTCTTTAACCAATAGGCTACCACACCGAGCCCTAAGCTAACAATAATTCTTTTCATGACCATAGTCAAAACTGGATCTAGTGTACTACCATGGCAACAAGAAGTCCTTGATTTCCAAGGATGGCAAGTTAAAGATTTCTGTAACTGTGTGCTCAAAACAAAGGTGTTAGAAACAAACAGAAATGCCTCAGAAGAATATAAATGGTTAATATGATGCACACACAACACTACCCATACATGTATATGCACACAACCAGCACCTCCACAGCCTTTAGGAAAACAGTTCTCTACAGATACATCACAAAACATAAAGCCCACCTACAATACAACATAGACTAGTTCAGTTGACCAAGGTGAGAGCTATCACATGAGTATATATAGCACTGCAGCACTAGAGCTAGACAACGAGTGTAACGCTATACCGGACAGGTAATAGTTAAATACCGTATCTCCTCTGTTGAATGCTGGCATCTAATCGATCCTGAGTCATCCACTCTGCATCAACAGTCATATCAGGCCCCGATTTCTCGAAACAAATTTAAGTCTGAGTTTTGACTTAAGTCAGAGTTTTACTCAAATTTGAGAAAACACAGGAAAATGCATTTCCCAGAATAAACTGAAATCAATATTAAACTCAAACTTAGTAGACAATTTGAGTTTGGTGGATAGATTACTTAAGTTGTTTGGGATTTTTTACGACCATCCTAACACTAGGAGAGCTTCGAAAATCTAGGACCAGGCCCTGATTTCTCAAAACAAACTTAAGTTTTTACTCAAATTTCAAACTGAGTTTGACAATTTGAAACAGATGAATTTTTAACTCACCTGCATTTTTAAAATTAAAAGGCCCAAACAACTTAAGTAATCTATCCACCAAACTCAAATTGTCTACTATGTTTGAGTTTAATATCGATTTCAGTTCATTCTGGCAAATGCATTTTCCTCCGTTTTCTCAAATTTGTGACTCAGACTTAAGTTTGTTTCGAGAAATCGGGGCCAGATCTCTAATCCTATTTCATAATGGGAAATGACTGTGATTATTAATGGCCATTTGTATTGGTACCCTTCATACAACTGTAGAATTTGGGATTCGGAGTGTTATGACTGAGCCAGCATTAAACAGAATAGACGTCAGGCCTCTAATACACTACGTATCAACTGATTGTGTGAAATCAAGATACCGGGTGTCTAATTGAGGAAAGACGGCACATGTGTGATGCTTGCATATTCACAGGAGGACAAGTTAAAAGATTAAGTTAAATTGCTGTAATAACCTTTTTGGTTATGTGGACAAGGTGTCGAACCTCAGATCAGGAAGTCAATGATTCAAGTTAAAATCAGATGACGACACTCAGACAGTTTCTTCCTGGAGCTTACATTAAAATAAGACTTCAAATAGTTGTAGTCTGAAAAGCATAGCTGGAATAGGGCCAATGAAACATTACTTCTCCAATATATAATTTGAAGCACGTCTAAACAATATTTTCAACTGACATCACCAAGGCAGATAAGCAATGTTAACATATGGTTCCTGCCACTAATGGACATATTGTACTTTCAACTACTGGTCCAGATTAAAATGTTCTAGGGTTTGGTTGATGGTCCAAGCTTTCTGACTAAACCTTTGGCTGACAGAGCTAACATAGAAAATGAATAGTACTATTGTTAAATAGGAAAACAGTGACTTCTTGTACAAAGATGGACTAAACTTATTTTGGGACAATGATACTAAAGCTTAACCAAACACAGTAGTTATTGAGAAGCTCCTAAACTGGATGAGATATGCAGCAAGTTATCACACATGTGCAACTGGATATCAAACAGAGGTCGCTACAAACCAACCAAGCCCATGACCAACCCAGCCACACATGAACACAGCACATACGTATATACATTGTTACACATGTTTGGCCAGATTTCCACACTTCTTTACATCAAACTTCATGTTTCCAGTATCGATTCCAACATATTTTGTTAAAACATAAAAGAACATCTTTTTCCATTGTCACTTTGAAAATAGTGTTATCTGACATTTCGAAAAGAACTATGAGTGCTTTTTAACTACAGCTATGCGATCACAGAAATTACAATACTACCTTCAACAGATAAACATATTACTGTTTAAGACAAACATTTTCAATAAATTAAGTGTTTCCATGGAAACATCAGCAGTTTGGGAGAAATTTGTAGCTGTAAAATATCTAATATCACATGGTTAGTGGCTAACCTATACATCTTCAATATCAAGAGAAACCCAAGACAAGTCACAGATAGTTTTTAGGAAACTATTCTCAAGACTGTTAATCTATATAAAAGCCATGTATGTTTATGACCGAATGTTTGGGTATGATTTGGAATGTCTGAGCAGCCTTGACTTACAGCATGCACGATTGTTCGAGTCACACGGCAGGACAAATGTTGAACATAATTATCAATATTTCACAAAACCTCAATAGGATCGAAAGTTTGCTATGCCATGACAAGATTGACTATTGCAATACGAAAAACATGGTGGTATCTAATCTTTTGGGGGCTAGAATATATTCACTACTATATGAACTAGTGCTTTTCAAATTTTGACTTAACTGATGGAGTAAGAATACATTCCTCAAAATAAAGAAGTTGACATCCATAAATTCTTGCCTATAAGTTTATTTATACGCGTTCATTCCTACCAGACTTTGCTGAAGGGATATGATACAGATTTTCTTCTGGGCATAACAATTGAATATTTTCCCCCTAAAATACAGACTCTCATTGTCCTTATGTGTCCGCTATAGCCAAGAAATTATGGCAGAGGAGTGAGTGAGTGAGTTTAGTTTTACGCCGCAATCGGCAATATTCCAGCTATATGGCGGCGGTCTGTAAATAATCGGTCTGGACCTGACATATGGTAGAGGAGTTCTACTGCTAATGTATCAATTATTTAAGGATTGTGAAATATTGACAAAATATACAACTACATCCTTTTTCTGTAATGGTGGGTGCTGTCGTCACTGCTGTATTTTCTAAGCACTCTTTACCAATAAAATACAGTGTAGGTTTTTTACCCAAGTGTGTGTTTTACAATTACCAACAATACACAGGTCTGCATGCACTATATTCCACCATCACTGATAAACACTACAACCTGTGAGGTATTGATAGTATTCCACACAAACTGAGTCACCCAGTGATGTCCGAACTCTCGGCACTTTACCAAGGCATATCACAACAAAAATGTTCATTAGAATGAGAATAATAATAATAATAATAATAGTGGATATTTGTCAAGCGCCATTGTCAACCCACTCATGCATGCTCATGATTAGGATCCTTACGCTTCAAAGGAACTAAAAATACAAACAAATTAAATCATATTCTAGCATACTGACTTGGTTGGAAGTAATTAATTAATTATTCATAGATTGTTTCATGACATATCTGTTGCTGACTGTGATGAAGGGTTGAATATGATTGCGGATGAAATACGACAAAATTTGGATATTGTCTTATATATGAGAACGGCAAGTACGCTAATGGTATAATGATTGTCACGATGAGTGATGAATCTGGATTCGGAAACTGATGAAAACTGTGAAGACAATGATGATTATGATGATGATAATGATTATGGCATGAAGAGTCAGTTTTGTGAATTCTGTCGGCCTGACCCATATGAAGCACATATACAAAGATGGACACTTGTTGTGTACGGTTGTATTGACGTCACTTAGAACACAGTACCACTGGGTCTTATCAGGGTGGAACCTGCACACGCTAACTGAGAAATACTACCGCCAGTCCTGCACGACACAGATGTAACGACCAGGGATGGAGATTAACTGTTTGCGTCTACTAGCCCAATACTCATCATTACCACTATAAACCATTTGGAAATTTATCTTATCTTATAAAACTGCTTTTAGCAAAATTCAACAATATCACAGCAGGGGGACACCAAAAATGGGCTTCACATGTTGTACCCATGTCGGGAATCAAACTTGGGTCTTCGGTGTGACGAGCGAACGCTTTAACCTTTGGGCTACCCCCCAGTCCCTTATTGTTAACAAAACTGCTGTAAGGGCTAGTGTTAATGTCCATCTCCGGTCAATCTAAAGATCATGGTCTGTTTGTATGAAACCTATCACATCGAAAATGAAGCTATTGAAAATATTACTATGAAGTATATTGTCAGAGAGAGTAACATTCTTCCCGAATAATGCTAAACGTTATATGACCATTACGAAATTCCGTAATTGTCATGTTTTATCACAACTTGGTATGTATCACTTACTGAATTCTGTCATCAGCAAGCAAATAACATATTTACACTGAGAAATATATGTTTCATACGTCATTTTCTAAATCCAAACAATATTCATATTCATCAACACTAAATTTCATACAGAATAAAGTTGATTGAAGGACATTATGGCCAAGCTGTTGAACTGAAAGCACCTTTGACAAACAAAATGGCTGACCATGCACAGTGCAGACTGACTAACAATACAACTGTTACCGTGGCAACCGACAGCTGAAGACTATTGATGACAAGAATAGCACTGTGTCGCTACTACAGATATGTACAACATTTTTCAAGAAAAATCACAGATAATTGAAACGTTTAGCACAATGGAACTCCCGAGGGTCTCCCACTGGTGTTGTCCAGGAATAAGTTAACGAGCTGATCCGAGTTTGATGTTCAAGTGAAGTTTTCTCCGCAAGGTCCGACACAGGTTCACATATTCGTCCTCTTGAAAATCTGCATTGTTGAAACAGATCAACTAATATTCACCTTTTCAGCTGAATTGTGCGAAATCCTTCAATCTATGTGGATGAATGATTCTGTTTCTGTAAGGGGCGTAGATCTCACCGATTTATCGATATATTGAAAATATACCCATGATACGCCTACTATGTATGTACAATCGCAATAAATATTCTTTGAAAAGTAATATCTAAAATTTTGCAAGAAAACCTGTCCAGGTTAATACCAAGGCTACCCTTATATTTCTGTCTGTGACAAAACGAAGTACTAAATCTGGTATCACTGTTATAATAGTAATTTTGAAACAAGCCTGAAGTAAAGAAACATGTGAACTACACAGAACCTGGTTGGTAATACCTACATACTGTCAGACAGGCCACACAAAATCTCAAACAAAAATAGTAGGAATTGAGTACCACAATATATGTCATTTTGTGCTTCGATATCTGACCATGTGAAGTAGGCGTATTGTAAAACCCCTAGAATCATCACCACAAGTTCTTATGAAGGTTCCAAAGAAAAGCAGACTGAAAAGGTCAAGTTTTGCAGACTTACATTCGACGACAAATCTTAAAACACACTTTAAGCCTGTCGAAAGTACATTCACAAAGATTTGTCTACAAGTGCGGATTACAAAAGTACTTCACAATATGCAGACGACAAAAAGGTCTGAAGATAATCTTGACATTTCCGCTGAAGCTGTCACAGCCCACTTGACATCCAGACAAGACAAAAATGTCTGCCATTTTGAAAAACAGTCTCAAACTCGGAATCTAATCTCTTCCAGAATCAGCTCTCTAAGTGGATTCGGTTCGAGTTGCGGACACATTGCCACCATCGACTCTAAATAAACCGTCTTGTGTTCTTCCCAGTCAAGACAGTCCAATCGTGAGGAGGGTCACACGATCATACTTGACTTGGGAACACAGTACACTGTAACCATGGTAACAGATCACATGATCAATGATGAGAGGGGATGATGGAGAGTCAGTCCCATCCGTTGTCTTTGATCATGTGTGCCAGCTCGATGATAAACTTCCCTTCCTTGTACTTCTGACTAGACTCAAATGCATGTTCCTGAAATCACAAAGAACAGCATCAAATATTTGTTTATTTTGTTTGTTGTTCAACACCACACCAGCTATATGGTGGCAGTCTGTAAATGGATTGGTTGGTTTGTTCTTTAATCGAAGAGTGAACGCTTTAACTACTGTATTAAAAATACATCTGCAAGTTTAACTTGTATGTACAAACTCACATATTTCCAGCCCAGTGTGGTTTTGCAGCACTCGCAGTAGATGTCCGCAACGGCATGCAAGCCCGTCAGCAACACCCTCTCTTCCGCTGGTCCGCAGCCCACATTAACACTGCAAGAAAGACTCCAATTTAGCAAAGAGGGAGGGAACAAGCAAAAATAGTTTTAAGTCGCTTTTAGCAATAATCCAGCAATTTCACGATGAGGGTCACCAGATATGGTCTGTACATGAGGGGGATTCAAACCTGGGTCTTCTGCGTGACGAGCGAACACTTAACTACCCCACTGCCCCTTCAGCAAAAGGGAGGGCAGTTGGATGGCAGATTTATTGAAACTCACGTACACATGAAAGATAAAATGGATGAATAGAAGTGATTTTGCTTGCACAAATGGAATGACATTTGTTTCAGAAAGATATTGTCAGGTGAGGTTCACTGAAATTCACGAATAGAAGAGACCTTGCTGGCACTAATGGAGTAAAATTTATGTTAGGAATATAATTCGTCAGGTCGATTTCACTGTAATGCAGGAATGGAGGACACGATGGCCACATTAAAAAGGGAGATAACTGACGTAATTTGGGATTCAAACACACAATCACAAGATTCCAGCATACCAAAGGGAGACAACTCTTCACAGTATAACTAAAATGTGATAAGGCACACTGTTAGGATCAGAGATGCACAGTCAGCAATATTTCAGCTGTATCTGTGCAACCAGTAGATTGTTCATACTTCGGAGGGGCGGTGGGATAGCCTTGTGGTTAAAGCGTTCGCTCGTCACATCGAAAACACAGGTTCGATTCCCCACATGGGTACAATGTGTGAAGCCCATTTCTGGTGTTCCCTGCCATGATAATGCTGGAATATTGCTAAAAGTGGCATAAAACCAAACTCACTCACTCACTCATCTGAATGCTGACTGTCCTACAGTTTGACCACAATGTAACCTACTCTGCTAAGAGCCTCCTGCGGCTAAACAAGCATGGAGGGGCACACGGCTTGTGTGTATAGTGAAACCAGCAGGCTGGCATTTAAACAACACATGCACTAAAATAGCCAATTAAAAAGCACATGCTTTCAAATGTCAGACTCGGACGAAAGGTTATCTGTTCTGAAATTACCTCAAGGGGTAGCTGAGTTTACAGAAAGGAGTTCAACGGCCACGTGTGCCAAACATTTCACACAGAGATTGCGGATTTCGTCTTGGCTTCAGAAGAAGTTATGCGAGTCCTGTTTTACACTGTTTCTAGCAATATTCTAGCAGTATCAAGGTGGGGACACCAGAAATGGGCTTCACACACTGTACCCATTTGAGAAATCAAACCAAACTTTTGCCTGTGTCTAGTGAACAAATTAACCACTAGGCTATCCCATTAGCCAGTGAAGGAGCACCCCATTCTTTCATTCTACTGCAGTTAATCTGTCAAGGACTACCTGATCAGGGCCCGGTTGTTATCCTTAACTTCATTTGAGTAGAATAAAATCTGCCATGTACATATGCTGAACATTTTAAATTGTGATGCTAATGCATTCAGATGACCTTGACCATGATGCTGTCAATAATTACGATATTACTTTCTGAATGAATCCGAATAACAGTCTTAAAGGATGCTTCTGTTGAAGAATTAATTAAGTGTACTTGATGACCTGGGCTGTTTTACAAGTATCATACATTGGTTGTACTGTATATCAGGGTGCGGTTTGTTGTTTCAGTACCTGCACCGAGTGCAGCCTGGCTTATAGGTTTGGCTGCACCATCAAAGTTATGGTTGCACCACACTGGTTCTAAAACGTAACATAAATTCTTGTTTAGCACTGAGTATCAGATACATTCAGGGGTGGAAATAACCCATTGCCCGAAGCCCGAGTCCAGTGTTTTTTTCTGTCAGGCATGCAAATTTGTATATCACACTGTACTGGTGTCCAGTTGACTTTCCAACGTTAATTATGTTGTTTATTTAAAAAATCAACAAGAAAACGGCCGGTATAGTGGAAAAATTATCAGGGCAAGTGATTTTACATGTGCCACTGTACCGGAGTACACTAGCAATTTTTAAGTTATTTCCACCCCTGACATTCAACAGAACCAGATCCCATGATGATAATGATGAATGACTCTATTTCAATATTGCATTACCTTTTTTCATAAATCTCAATTATACAACTGCTACATAAATGACTAATGACTATACACATGTTTATGCTTGTAACAAGTCTTGTTACTTCCAGCCACTTACTTCCCAATAAAAACACACAATGACAGCTGTAAGACGTTGGAGGATATATTGTTACCTACGCCAGGTGCAACCTGTTACTAAAGGCAACCTGCACCAGCCATTTTTGAACATGCACTGGTGCAGGTTGTCAATAGAGAAATTGCACCTTGCACCAATTCAATTAAAATCTCTCCATTTAAAAACATTCATGAATATTTGATTCCAGTGATCACAAATAAAGAACTGAATTCATTAAGGATTTAGTTTTATGCCGCTTTTAACAATATTCTAGCAATATCGAGGCGGGGCACACAAGAAATGGGCTTCACACATTGTACCCATGTGGGGAACCAACCCGGGTCTTTGCATGACGAGTGAATGCTTTAACCACAAGGCTACCCCACCACCCCTAAGTCAGAATAAACATTGGACCAATAGTTGATCTGTATTTCGATTAGGCACTGTAGCTCACTTGACTTTAATGCCACATTTTCAACACTGGTGCAGAAGAGGGTGGTTTCAGCTTGAAGCAATCTTTTAGTTGTTTTGGCAGTGGATGCCAAGAATGAGATTAAGAATTTTAATTCTTTCATATTTCAAGACGTTACTCTTTGTCTCAAATAATTATGTCATATCAACACTAGGAATACTTTGTAAAATGTTTAAAAAAAGTTTAGCTTCACTACTACCAAATTATTTTTATATTGGCTGAGTGAGTGAGTGAGTGCGTTTGGTTTTACATCGCTTTTAGCAATATTCTGGCAATATCACTGTGGGGACACAAGATATGGGCTTCAGACATTTTACCCATGAGGACATGACGAGCAAAGGCTTTAACTACTAGGCTATCCCACCAGCCCCATAATGGCTGAGAATATTCACAAAAATAAAACTTAACTGATCAGACATTAACAAAAAAAATCCATGAAACCATGGCATAGGTATCTGCTTGCCCTTAAAGCTCTCCCCCGGGTAACTGTATGGCGGGATGACTCACACTAGATTGCTATGTGTACCCACCCCTATGACTTGACGACTGTTGGCGAGATACTTACACTGAGTTGAACAAATATGCCCGACCCTGGCTGCCTTGGAACGACTGAAACAAACAAAATATTAATGGTCAAACTTTGGTATCAAGATGGATGTCAATATCTTTTACTGTGTAAGCTTTTTAGGACTTGAGAAAGTCATTCACATACATCAATGTTATATACAACATATATTGTCATCAAAGCATTGTAGCATTATTACAATGACTTGGTGGACACGTCATCGCATCCCAATTGGACCCGTGAAAACCCGGATTAGAACTGATCTTCAGTAACCCATGCTTGTCGTAAGAGGTGACTAATGGGATCAGGTGGTCAGGCCTGCTGACTTGGTTGACACATATCAATTGACATATCCCAATTGCATAGATCGATGATCATGATGTTGATCACTGGATTGTCTGGTCCAGACTCGATTATTTACAGACTACACCATATAGTTGGAATATTGCTGACTGCGGTAATAAACAACCAACCAACCAACTCAATAAGTAGCTTAAGAATTATCTGATTTCTTGAAAAACACAAAACACAAACACAATCATAAATCATCATAGGCTTGATGGGAGATACAGGAAGTGGTTTCAACATCATTAATATCAACCAGTATGTAGTATCTGTATGGCTGCACTCAAACACCAACAGCCCCAGCAGAAAGGGAGTTGATACGGGGACATAGGCTTGATGGGAGATACAGGAAGCGGTCTCAACATCATTTATATCAACCAGTATGTAGTATCTGCCAGTATGTAGTATCTGCAAGGCTGTACTCAAACACCAACAAACCCAGCAGATGGGGAGTTGATACGGGGACATAGGCTTGATGGGAGATACAGGAAGCAGTCTCAACATCATTTATATCAACCAGTATGTAGTATCTGCAAGGCTGTACTCAAACACCAACAAACCCAGCAGATGGGGAGTTGATACGGGGACATAGGCTTGATGGGAGAGATACATCAGGAAGCCAGTCTCAACATCATTAATATCAACCAGTATGTAGTATCTGGGACAGGGCTGATGGGACTCAAAAGTGGTCTCAACATCATTAATATCCAGCAGATGGGGAGTTGATACTGGGACATAGGGCTTGATGGGAGATACAGGAAGCCAGGTCTCAACATCATTAATATCAACCAGTATGTAGTATCTGTAAGGCTGCACTCAAACACCAACAAACCCAGCAGATGGGGAGTTGATACTGGGACATAGGCTTGATGGGAGATACAGGAAGTGGTCTCAACATCATTAATATCAACCAGTATGTAGTATCTGTAAGGCTGCACTCAAACACCAACAAACCCAGCAGATGGGGAGTTGATACTGGGACATAGGCTTGATGGGAGATACAGGAAGCGGTCTCAACATCATTAATATCAACCAGTATGTAGTATCTGTAAGGCTGTACTCAAACACCAACAAACCCAGCAGATGGGGAGTTGATATGGGGACATAGGCTTGATGGGAGATACAGGAAGCGGTCTCAACATCATTAATATCAACCAGTATGTAGTATCTGTAAGGCTGTACTCAAACACCAACAAACCCAGCAGATGGGGAGTTGATACTGGGACATAGGCTTGATGGGAGATACAGGAAGCGGTCTCAACATCATTAATATCAACCAGTATGTAGTATCTGCAAGGCTGTACTCAAACACCAACAAACCCAGCAGATGGGGAGTTGATACTGGGACATAGGCTTGATGGGAGATACAGGAAGCGGTCTCAACATCATTAATATCAACCAGTATGTAGTATCTGTAAGGCTGTACTCAAACACCAACAAACCCAGCAGATGGGGAGTTGATACTGGGACATCAAACACCAACAAACCCAGCAGATGGGAGATACAGGGACATAGGCTTGATGTCTCAACATCATTAATATCAACCAGTATGTAGTATCTGTAAGGCTGTACTCAAACACCAACAAACCCAGCAGATGGGGAGTTGATACTGGGACATAGGCTTGATGGGAGATACAGGAAGCGGTCTCAACATCATTAATATCAACCAGTATGTAGTATCTGTAAGGCTGTACTCAAACACCAACAAATACCAGCAGATGGGGAGTTGATACTGGGACATAGGCTTGATGGGAGATACATAGGCTTGATGGGAGCCGGTCTCAACATCATTAATATCAACCAGTATGTAGTATCTGTAAGGCTGTACTCAAACACCAACAGATGGGGAGTTGATGAAGCACATAACATCAGCAGATGGGGTAGTTGATACTGGGACAGATGGGGAGTTGATATGGGGACATAGGTTTGATGGGAGATACAGGAAGCGGTCTCAACATCATTAATATCAACCAGTATGTAGTATCTGCAAGGCTGTACTCAAACACCAACAGCACCAGCAGATGGGGAGTTGATACTGGGACATAGGTTTGATGGGAGATACAGGAAGCGGTCTCAACATCATTAATATCAACCAGTATGTAGCATCTGTAAGAGCGCACTCAAACACCAACAGCCCCAGCAGATGGGGAGTTGATACTGACATAGGCTTGATGGGAGATACAGGAAGCGGTTTCAACATCATTAACGGCAACCATATACACCTTCAGGCAACCATATAACACAACAGGCTATTTAACCTGCTGTAATTTCACAAACAGTAAAAGAAATTCGTCCAGCTGTCAAGAATATGCAAGAATAAGGGTTTTATTTGATCATTACCCTAAATCCACACAAAGCACTCCTCAAAGCCAGGCCTAGACTAAGGCTTAGTCTCTGAATATATATAATTTTGATAGTAACAAACAAGCCCATTTATATTGAAAAGGAGCCCAAGGGAGACCAGAGATTCAGAACCTGAACCTGAGGAAATCTAGACTTGCTTTATTTAGGGCTTTAGCACTGCAGAGAGGGCTTGGCAGTAGGGAAATTAATGTAGTTCAGGGACTGTGAGACAGACTAAGCCAGGCCAAACACTAATCTCATTAATGATTTATTATGAAGCTTGTCCCCAGGTTCAGACACCGGTCATAAAACACAGGGGAACCAACAACACAAGGCCACTCTGTCTTATTGCTCCTACAGACCACAATGACTAGTAATGTGTGCCAGAAATAGGCCCTTGGAGTCAGGGTTTATGTGGTTCATTCTCCTGTTGGCCATCGTCCAGGCTGCAGATAATAAGTCCAGTGGTCAAGCGGGTATTGCTCCACAGTCCTATAACCAGGCTGATGGTGAAGCTAAGTCCTACACAACAAACCATGGTGTGGGTGAGGGGATGTCACCCAGGGTTTATGTGGTTCATTCTCCTGTTGGCCATCGTCCAGGCTGCAGATAATAAGTCCAGTGGTCAAGTGGGTATTGCTCCACAGTCCTATAACCAGGCTGGATGGTGAAGTCTTACACAACAATATGTCCGACCATGGTGTAGGTGAGGGAAAAAGTATGTCACCCAGGGTTTAAGTTGATAAGCAGACATGGAGTCCTGGACATCAGGTTGCCTGGTTCGTTGTTTGAGCCACACTCAGCAATCTTCCAGCTGAATGAAGGGATCGAACCCCGAACACCAGAAATGGGCTTCACACATTGCACCCATGTGGGGAATCGAACCCGGGCCTTCGGCGTGACAAGCGAACGCTTTAACCACTAAGGCTACCCCATCGCCCTGACAAACAAGGAGAAGTTTCGACCATGTTAATATGTTTTGTGAAACGAAAGTCGTTCTTCTGCCCTTGACCTTCAATCAGGAGTTGTACTAACCAGATAATCTTATAAAACTGTGTGTACAAAGAACTTCTGACCTGATCTTTGTTCTACTTCTCTGGACTGGCCCTCTTAGGTTACACCACACTATTCAGCTAAAGCCCAGGCTTAATGAACTGAAAGTAGGTGGACTTAAACAAATGACCTTCAATCACGTACTGCACAAGGTCATAAACCTCATACACCTGCTGTTGACACACAAGTAGACACGTATTGACATCGGAGTAGCCCACTATTGAGGCCTGTCTCCTGCAAATAACACCCCAGTATTCCACTATTGATGTCCAAGTATCCCCTTATTGACACCCCAATATCCCACTATCGACACCCAAGTATCCTCCTATTGACACCCCAATATCCCACTATCGACACCCAAGTATACTCCTATTGACACCCCAGTATCCCACTATCAACACCCAAGCATACTCCTATTGACACCCCAGTATCCCACTATCAACACCCTAGTATCTTCCTATTGACACCCCAGTATCTTCCTATTGACACCCCAGTATCCCACTATTGACATCTCAGTATCCTCCTATTGACATCCTGTATCCCCTTATTGATAACCCAGTATCAAACTAATGACACCCCAGTATCCTAATACTGACATCCCAGTTTCCTAATATGGACACCCATGTAGCCTCCTTCTGACATCCTGTATCCCACTATTGACACCCCAGTATCCCACTATTGACACCCCAGTATCCCACTATTGACACCTCAGTGACCTCCTATTGACATCCTGTATCCCACTATTGATAACCCAGTATCAAACTATTGACACCCCAGTATCCTAATACTGACACCCCAGTGTCCTAATATGGACACCCATGTAGCCTCCTTCTGACATCATAGTATCCCACTGTTTGAATCCCAGTATCCTACTATAGACATCCTGTATCCCACTATTGATAACCCAGTATCCTACTATTGACAGTGTCACCAGCCGAGGTCTGAAATATCTGTGAGGGTAGAAGGGTTCCCGTGTCACTGTAAGAGGTGTCCTGTGTCTACTCGGGGTTAAGAGGTCCCACATTTTACTAAGCCATCACAAGAGGTCCCTGTATCCCATGTCAACAGAAGAGGTCTCCTACATCCAGCTGGACACATCCCGTATGTCCCTTTACACCCCACTGCTCACCTTAACCCCACAGGTAACTATAACACCGTCATCAGGTCCAGAGTCAAGTCAGTAGGTCATGCGTCTGAGCGGCTATTCCACTGATCTCATTACGTCGAGTACATCCGTTTATATAATGTAATACTCACCAGAAGCATTCACTCAACTCTCGGTCAAGTACAAGTGCTAAATCCTCCCAGCGATAGACATTTTCTACTCCTGTGCTAACTCTCAACAAGTGCTTAAATGGGGATTTGAATATAACCCCGGGGAAACACTTTTGCTGAGATCGACACACATACGTAGTCAGGAAGGTAGATGTAAACTTAGGATCAACATGCGAAATAACCACATGAGCTTTATCAGCCAAAGATGAGCCTCGGGGTTTATGCTTGATTCAACCAAGTGGCTGGCAAGGAAATTGGAAAAAATCTTATTTGGCTAAAATCCTGAACTGTTAGTTTTGAAAAGTTTTTATTTTCCTAATTCCAGAGGTATGTTAATTTTGTATTCAGCAGAATAATGTAAAATCAAATTTCTTTTTATTGGCCCTGTTTTCAGTGAAAGTCACCTTGATCAAACCTACATTGGTTTTAAACATCAACATTAATTGAGAATTGTTATTTATTCCCATTTGGGAATTTTTACTGACATTTGATGCAAACTTGGGGCTGAATATCGTCCGCTGATCAGGTCGAGATAAAAGCATGAGCCTTAAGGGTTCCCTGTAATCAGAAGCATCAACCGGCTGTAATGAACAAGCAGCCCAACAGCGGTTTTAGTACGGGCAGGTCAGAGCGTCTTCGGTTTGATCATAACTAAGGAACCTACTAATTGTGCATCTGGGGAGTTGCTGTCAGAACAGGAATAATAAGCACTGGCAATAACTTCTCATTAAGCAATAGGTAAGTACTTGTCGTCAGGTTAACGGGAAACATGTGACTTATCGGGCATTGGGGCTGACAATACATGTGATAAACATCAGAGGTGACAAAAGTGATTAGGTGAATAATGAGGCAGGTGAGTTGTAACCATGGTAACAACACAGTAACACTCAGTAACCGTGACCTCGGGGTCGGTAGTGTGCGATGATATAATGGCCAGATGCCGATAAACCATGCATCGATCCATGGGTCGCCGATACAGTGAATAGATACACAGTTTTACACTGTCGTATATCCCGATACGATACTTCAAATGGGCCACCATACATCGATGTTTTACTTTGAATATTGCTGAATCGTGATATCTGTCAAGAAAGACTTACTTTGTTTGATGATTAAAATATATGCATACTTATTTTCCCTTCATACGTTTCTCGGAAATTCTTGCGTCAGGAACTGTGTCAAACATAGCACTCGCATTTTATTAACATTCACAAAGTCTGTGTATAAACTTAATTATCTCATTTCCGAACGAACATTGAAAAACGCTGTCGGAATTTGACAAAATACTTTAAAATAGTTTTGTTTTTATCTTAAGGTGTTTTATAGTTGGTGTTAGAATTAAAAAATTTAGTATCGTGATACGTATCGTATCGCCACCCTTATATCGATTCATATCGTATCGCAGCTTCAGTGCACAATACTTAGGCAATATATCGTCGTGACTAAAATTTTAGTGTCATGATGTATCGTATCGCAGGTTGTATGCCAATACCAGCACTACCCCTTACTGATACAAAGTATACAGTTGACCTATAAGATTACATAGGATGATAACATGGGACACAGAGAAGCTTTTATGACCATATGGGACACTACAAACCTCTTCCTGTTACAAAGCATACATTGGAACTCTTACAGTTACACATGACACAAGGGACTCTTATAGTTACAAGATACTCATTTACACAATTGGGATGCGATGACAAGCGATGAAGTGAGTCTGACCACCCAATACCAGGATATGCCCTTTACGACAAGTATGGGTAACTGAAGACCAATTCTAGCCCGATCTTCATGTATGAGTGTGAGTGAGTGAGTGAGTGAGTGAGTGAGTGAGTGAGTGAGTTGGGTTTTACACCGCTCTTGGCAATATTCCACCAATATCATGCCACGAGAAACCAGAAATGGGCTTCACATATTGTACTCATGTGGGGAATCGAACCTGGGTCTTTTGCGTGATGAGCATACGATTGAACCACTATGCTACCCCACCCCCACTAAATCAGAATGAACATTGGATCAATAGGTAGATGAAAACTCACCACTCAAGCAAGGCATGCTTGACTTGTACTATTGTACACAGGCAGGGTGTGATTTCGGTTTTTATTCAGTACCCTGTGTTTTACCCTGCTTTTAGCAATATTCCAGTGATATCACGATGGGATCACAGGTCTTAAGACCCAGCACTCACCTTTGATATGAGCTCATCATGGTTGGCTAGGTGTGCCCTGCAGTGAACACAGCTGTACGTGCGGTGACACTTGCTGGGAAGATAGGCTTGGAACGTCTTCACCATCCTGACGCCAGCTGACAGACATGGACCCTGGCTGTGCAGCAGGGGGGTTAGGAGGAGGGCCAGTCTGCTAGTCGTGGGGGGAGCAGGGGGGCCAGTCTGCTTGTCAGCGCAACCACTCACGCCACTGATGCAGGTACACCTAGCAGAGGAAAGAAATTCCGAACCTTGTCTCCTTGTCAGCTGAGTCGCTCACACCATAGATGCAGGTACACCAAGAGTTACGGAAATCACTCAGATCCGTGGACGTGGGTCTTCTGTCTGTAGACCTGTCGTCAGTACTAGTAATGATGGGCTGGTGAGGAATAAGTCCCAGTTGATTCCGTGTCAGAGTAGCTGGGACTTCTAGATGGAAACTGGTTTGATCTCTAGAAGTAGCAGACGTCTAAACGTTTTCAGTTTGGACTCATTGGGCCACTGTATCTGAAAGAAAAATCAAAAGGTTAGGTTTCAAACAAAGGCAGAAATGACTAACCACAGTTATCATTGTGAATATGTCTAAGCCTTCTACTGTTATTACATCATAGCCATTCAGTCTGTGCACTGGCTGACCTCAATGTTACAATCCTAAGATAAACAGATGTCCTTCCTCACTGTCAACTGTCAGCTGTCAACCAATCCCATTGCAGACAGAATATTCCCGCCAAAACAAATGGAAAAGTACCATATTAACAACCAGGTCATTGATCAACTAACCATAGATTTTGTGAAAATAATGGGTTCAGATCTGGCACAAACCTACCAGAGATTGAACCAGGGGTTTAAACTCATACAAACTGAAGCTACACCAAATCACGTTTGACCAAGGCAAATGTAGAATTTATCAAAAGGAGATCCTAAACTGTTTTTCCAGCTTGTCGTGAGAATGCCGCCACTCAACCTAAGGGCCTACTCTCCTACACTAAAGTAACCATAGAAACTAAACATGGTTCTAAAAGTTAAAGGAGGCACTGACGGCCCAATTGTATAAGTTCACAATTCATGTTCCTTGGCCAGTGATAATAGGTTTGAACTCAACATTCTGCCAGAGAATGTTCCTTGGTTTAGAAATGTATGTTGGCACCATACGTTTCACAAATAAATATCGGCTACAGGCTTTCATGAAGTATAACCAAAACACTGTTGAAAGTTACTTTAAACCAATCTCTGTGAGATACATGTATCAATAGAACTCTACAGGATTCACTGAGCCAAAAGGTCACCGCGAGAGTATGCACTGTGTTGACACATCTGGGTGTTGAAAATCAATGCCAAACTTGCCCGACTTTCCAACTCGGGATGTGAGATCGCCTGACAAACAATACAATCTGCTTCAGTTGCCTGTGGCCGATCTAAAATTTTGGCAGACCCTGAGCATGTTCAGACAGTTGTCATAATCTGCTTGTAAAAAGTAGTGGTGTCTAGATTATTGTGTTTACATAGCAATATGCTTGCTTGTGTTTGGGTGTGTGTGTGTATATAATCATCTGGTTGGTTGGTTGGTTTGTTGTTTAACACCACACTGAAGAATATTCCACCAATATGGTGGCGGTCTGTAAATAATTAAGTCTAGACTAGACAATCCAGTGATCAACATCATCAGCATCGATCGACACAACTGGAATACGATGACATGTGTCAGCCAAGTCAGGGAGCCTGACCACCCGATCCCCTTAGTCGCCTCTTACGACAAGCATGGGTTACTGAAGACCATTTTTAACATGGATCTTCACAGGTGTGAGTCAGTTGTCAGTTAACTAGTTAAGACAATCCTAATACACATGATAAAGGGAAATATATTTCTATTCAGGTATTAACCAGTACCCCTTGTTTACACTGGTGTCATGGAGCACCATGGAGACAGGTGGTCTGGTCGCTATGAAGTATAAACATATATTGTCTTGCTTCCCACTGTTGCCAAAAGCAGCATGAAAAACAATATGCAAAATGCACTGACTGGGTTCTATAGGTCAGTCTGCTCAGATTTCATAATAACCTTGCTTGTCAACAAACTAGGGAAACATCACCTGATATGCAAATAGGGCTTGTGGCAGTTTTGTCATGCTAAGTCATCATGTAATGCATAAAAATGTGTGACCCTCATCAGGTAACACCGACCCCAGCTGATATTTCACCAATATCATGGCGGGGGCGCCAGAAATGGGCTTCACACATTGTACCATGTGGGGAATCGAACCCGGGTCTTCGGCGTGACGAGCGAACGCTTTAACCACTTTTTTTACCCGACAGCCCCATAGGTCCATGGGTACTATGGTAGCTATACGAGATACTACATCAATCAGGTGACCTAACTCAGTGACATCGTTATTGTTTGTTTAACGCTGCACTCAGCAATTATTCCAGCTGTTAAGCGACGGCCTGTAAATAATCGAGTCTGGACCTGACTATCCAGTGATCAACAGCACTAGCATTGTCCTATGCAGTTGGATAAGATGACATGTGTCAGCCAAGTCAGCAAGCCTGAAAACCCAATCCTGTTAGTCGCCTCTAATGACAAGCATGGGTTGTTGAAAACAAATTCTTGCCAGGATCTTCACAGGTCTGTGACTTTGTTAATTGCGTTCAATCACACCCTGAAGATGTACATTAGTGTTGGGCATTGGTTAAAATCTCATAATTGATGATTGGTTCATTACTACCGATCAATCATCGAAAATAATTGGTTAGCGTCATTTATGAAATTTGTTAATGAACATAGAAATAAGGAAAAAAAACATGTAGTTCTTTTGGGGTTCTTTGGCAAATTTTCATATCTTTAAAGGATGACTGGTATGTTAGGAACATAAATTTCCTGGAATCTTTAAGATAAATTCAATCATGACTTGAAACGAGCTTGTAGTGCTTACGAAATTTAACAGACAAAACCAACCATGTGAAAAATATTGTTAATGAAAACAAGTGTTCCAGAATTGTTTGTGTTGGATTATGAGAAATTATGATCGATTGCTTGGTCGTTTAGTCACTACGACCAATCTTCGATTGTTTCAATTAATCAGACCACCACTAATGTACATAGCGGTAATATTGTTAATAGCAGCTTAACACTTGCTCTCACAAACCAAGACTGATTCCACTAAACAATGTGAGACGTATCAATGAATTACAAATTTACATTTAACGACACATGTGTTAGGCGTTGGAATGAATTACAAATTATACATTTAACTGACTGTTCATGGGTTTCATAAAGCAACAGGAATAGTGATTATCAAGAATATAACAACATTCACTGCCTGTTTAACTGGAACTCACAGTTCACAGCAACAAATCAGGGAAAACGATAATGACACACAGGAATATATCAGGGACGTGATTCTGCTCCGAAACATGTTTTTTTTTCTGTTAACAATGAACACTTTCCTATTTACATTGACTCAATGTTATATACTGTTTTATTTAAATCTGAGTCATAAAATAACATTATCAGGGCTCACTCCACTCATTGAACATTGAACAAAACAAATTGATTACACTGAAGTATGACTGAATAAATATGATTCTATAAAAATCAATTACTTTAACAATACACACTACCTTCTCTATTACGTATATCATCAATCATCATCATCATCATCCATCATCATCATCATCATCATCATACATCCAAATTTCTACGCCAACCCAAACACAAACAGTACCTCACAACAACTTCACTGTACAGTCAGTCATTAGCAATTACTTTGGACCTCAGCCAGTTTACCACTAACAAATCCAACAAGAGCCATATTCAGGCTAGGAGAACCTCCCGTGGTGCAAGCCAGCTGATTCACAGAGCGGTAGTACCTTTAACACAGCATTAACCCACAGCCTTGGCTACCAACTGGCACACACCAGCTTACTGGGCCTCAGAATAGGACCAGATGACCTTGACCTTCACACAGTGTTTACAAGTTGAACAGCATGTGTTGATGCAATATGGAGTACTTTGCTCGGCTGCAGTCGGTTTGGAGATGTGCCGCACAAATAAAACAGACAAGATACTAGATCAGCTATGGTCCTGAATACAACCTTGTGTAGTCTTGTGGGGAATGTGTGTGTTATTCTAGGCCAGAACACTAAGCTTAGCCACAAAAGAAAATCAGTAATGTATGTGTGTCTGGTTGAGATAAAAATATCCACTGGATGAAAATTGGAAGTATCTTCCTCTGTTATCTTGATCTCAGCATAAACTGCTATCATGCTCCACTTCAGAGCATATGACCCTTTTCAATTCTATCTTTGGTGAAAATAAGAAATGTTGGTTCTATTCAGAAAATACTTTTAAACCAATATTTTCTGTTCTATCAATTCATTCCTGATAGTTTGTATTAAAGTTAAATTGAATTTCAGTAGAAACATTTTGAGTCAGAGGCCCAGATAAGCTGCGTATCCGGGTAAAATACGCATAGAAAATTTCCAACTATGCATTGAAAAAATAATTGTTGCGTACCAATTACGCATTTAAAATGTTAGATACACAAAAAGTTTAAAACGAATGCGGACGGAATATATTTATAAAAATCGCTTGCGTTATGAAAAAGACATTGATTGCTATCAAGTTGTACTTTTAGTATAGGACAAGTGTCGTACTGTCAGTACAGGATGAGTGATTTTTTATGAAATCATTTCCTTTATATTTAAGTTGGTTTTGATTAGGTATGACATGAGGCAGAACATACCTCAATGACGTAATACTTAGGTGAGTAAAATGACTGAAATACGCACATATTTGAAAGCAGTGGGTAACAGAACATGAAATACCCACACTTGAAAATCAATGCAAGATCTAAAGGTATAACAAAAAGGCTCACATGTTGTTCATAATGATCGTGCTAACAGAAATAAATTAACACACATACAAATATTTTACGACTGCAATATTGCTGACATCTTGTAATATTTATATTCATACACCATTACCATGGCAACTTGTTGGTAAGCTGCATCACCGAAGAGTTCCAGTGAAATGCTGAGGTAATCTCAGTGCACTTCATGAATTACCTGTATTCCTGTCAGAGTGCTCGCATTTGCATATATGCTGAACAAATAAGATAGGGATCATAAATAATTAGGGGATGATTTTTTAAAACATGTTTATTTTTGGGAAAGACAAGTCTAGAATGCCTCTCAAACAGTTCATGCTAATTCTTCACTACAAAAATTAGTCATGATAAGTAATTTATAAAAACAATTAACCTTTTTTTCAGTAATTATTACATCATATGTACAAATATAGTACAACGATGATATTTTAGACATCATGAGACAATTGTAATAGTAAGTGAGTGAGTATAAACTTAAACCACTTTTATCAATACTCCAGCAATACAATGGTGGAGGACACCAGAAATGGGATTCAACCATTGTACCCATGTGGCGTATGGAGTGACAATCACATTAACACTCTAACCACTGGGATACCCTACTTCCCCAGCTGTAATAAGTCCAGACATACATACAAATAAACAAACAATGCAGGGAACTGAGGTGAGGTGAGGTGAAATTGGGCTTAACGTCGTGCTTGAGAATATTTTGCTCATATGACGACGTGCATGCGTGTGTATGTGTATGTGCGGCTGCTTGTACTAGCCCAGACTTAAGCTGGTTTTATACTGCTAGCCCCACTGAGATACCATGCCGCAGTGAAGCATGAATACCCCACTCAGACACATTATACTGACTCCGAGCCGACCAGTCCTTGTTGTACCCATTAATGCCGAACGCCAGGCAGGGACCAACAAGTACCATATTTTAACATCTTTTGGTATGACACGGTCGGGGATCGAACCTGCGACCTTCCGCTCTCCGGGCGGACGCTCTAACCACTACACCTCGGAGGCGGTTGCAGGGAACTGAACAAAGACTGGATATATTGTACTTATTTTGGGATTCAAATCTAGCTCATGTTGATGTGAGACTGCTCAACATTACAACACTACTGTGACAAACAGGACCTCTACAGAAATCTTGACAATTATTTCACTAACAGAGAAATCAATCTTGATAATTTTGTTGTATACAGCAACTATGTCACTGTTTCACTGAGAGGTACCCCACTATTTTTTCTTTGATTATTTCTGGCATTTCTAACATTTTGACAGTTTATAATCTGGATAAGACATTTCTTGTTTTGGGGTCGAAAATGTAACTTTTAGGGTTGGTTATAGCTCTTGGACGAAGTCACAAACACAGTAATGGTGTTGACAAACCTAGAGACATAATCAGTTAATTGTGGAATTCACAAAAACATAGGATCCTGGCACAAACAAGGGAGACAATTCAAAATGAAATGAGTTCATGAACTGAGTGAATTGGCACTGCAGCAATCATTCATGAAGAACAAACATTATACCCTTCACTCACACTTCCATGCTATACCCAATGTTATACTCAATGCTGTACTGAATGTTTTACTCAATGCATTAGTCAAAGCTTTATTTAATGTTAAACCCAATACTATAAACAATGTTGTACTGAATGCTATACACAATCCTTTATTTAATGCTAATATCATACCATATTTAATGCTATACTCAATGCGTTAATGCTATACTCAATGTTTTACTCATTGCTACACTCAATTTTATACTAAATATTTTACTCAACTCTGTATTCAATGTTATACCCAATTCTATATTCCATGCTCTAATGCAATGTTATACTCAATTCTATATTCAATGTTTTACTCAATTCTATATTCAATGCTACACTCAATTTCTACTCCATGCTCTACTCAATGTTTTACTCAGTTCTATACTCAATGCTCTATTCAATGTTTTACTCAATTCTATACTCAATGTTTTACTCAATTCTATACTCAATTCTATACTCAATGCTCTACTCAATGTTTTTCTCAATTCTATACTCAATGTTTTACTCAATTCTATACTCAATGTTTTACTCAATTCTATACTATACTCAATGTTTTACTCAATTCAATGTTTTACTCAATTCTATACTCAATGTTTTACTCAATTCTATACTCAATGCTCTATTCAATGTTTTACTTACTCAATGCTATACTCAATGTTTTACTCAATTCTATACTCAATGCTCTATACTCAATGTTTTACTCAATTCTATACTCACTCAATTCTCTGCTCTCAATGTTTTACTCAATTCTATACTCAATGCTCTATTCAATGTTTTACTCAATTCTATACTCAATGTTTTACTCAATTCAATGTTTTACTCAATTCTATACTCAATGCTCTATTCAATGTTTTACTCAATTA